GGGGGGGGGGGGCGTGGTTTCGTTCGGTTCGTCGATTCGTTCGTTTTCGTGCGTTTTCGTCCGTTCTCCTTCGTTTTCGTTTGATTACGGCACGCAGTGCATCGATGCTGCTTGGGGAAGCCTGAAGCGCTTCATGCCGAAGCAGGTAAAAAGAAAAGGAAAAATGAAAGGCGTCAGCTGCATGAATGCAACGTTGGAACGCCGTGTGTACCAATGGCTCTGGCGCAAAAACCTCAGAGCTGATGGAGATGTCACGGGACAAGAGTTCCTGGTGCACTTGTCGAAGGCTTGCCGCTGGAAGTGAAAAGCAGCGTATGGCGGTTTTCCCGCTGAGCACTTTGGTGAAAGAATTGACCAATTGGGACCGTTTGAAAACCGACAGAGCAGACTATGGCTTTTTTAAGAGAGAATGTCACAGCTTTCATGCCATGTTGCTACAAAGAGAATTTACACCAAGACTGAGTCCAATCAGTTCGTGGAAGGGAGTCCTTCTCTCTGAGCATTGTGTCTCACGCTTAAGATGATTGATCCCAATTTATCCTGATTGCTGATGGAAACAAACTCTTATTACTCAGGTACTTGAAATAACAAAAACTAATGTCCAATTGTCGTAGAAGGCACTGATCGCCTCACGAAGAGCTTCCATGTAAGCGTCGAGACCCAATGCAAGACGCGCCGTCCGACAAATAGATAGGTGTCTGGACAATGGAGGCCCAACTTGATCCACTGTCTGCGGGTACGAATACACTCGTCTCAATGTGCTTCTGAAGTGCTTCTGCCTCGTCACGACTGGTGCACTTGTACATCGACACGTGATGCATGTTGGAGCCGACGTTGATGCAGGGCAGCACACAAAGGGCAACTTCCATATGGTGACCCTCACGTCGATCACCAACACCGTCTGAAGGAGTTTGATGCCCTGTGGGGTGAGATCCATCGGACACTCGAAGAGGGTCAAGGCCCCCAATAACATCAACCCAAGGAAGCGCAAGAAGGCTTTGCCCAGGGGCTCGCTGCCCTTCCACAAGGTCGTGTGCTGTGGCACCCGCCCATCAACCGAGGAAAGATTCAGTTCCAAAGTTGCAGGCATTCGCCACATCATATATAATAAAAGCACCCAACAGCAGAAGTTTCATCATGGTAGAGGATCAATGTGACACGCAATACTGTGAGCCCAAGCTACAGCCGCTCAAACGTCATGAGTCACTACGATAGGCTGCAACAATGAGGATGGACATGTCGAATCCGCTTGCCGCATGACGAAAAATCAAACAATCCATCACGTCTACTTGCACGTTTAGTACATTCTCTTGTTCACCTGCAGTCGTAGTCTTCAGACACCCTCAAGTACTCACCACTGCCAGTTCGAGTTGAAAATGCACCTCATGGCGCGGTGTTTAAAGAGGCTTTTCGTCTACCTCGGTTGATTTTGTTTATCCTCGGTGTCACCTGTGCAACCCCAGTCCCTATCTCTAGGAGGCTTCCCGGTTTCAGTCGTGGTGTCCTGCTTTGGCACCCTTCCTTTTGTACCCTTCTCCTTTGGAGGCTTTCGCGCCACCACCCGAATTTCGAGATTCGAGACGGATGAACCGTTCCTAAAAGACCGGATCACTTCTCCCTGGATCCCTGTTTGTCGGTTCTCCATCTACCACCACCAGATCTGAGTTAACAAATACAGCTCATGGCTTCATGGCACGATGTTGTTTAAAGAGGTTTTCCATCTACCTCGGTTGATGTTGTTTATCCTCGATGTCAACTGTGCAACCCCCGACCCTATCTCTATGAGGCTTCCCGGGTCCAGCCCGGAAAGCTTCCAAAATAGAAAAGGACTGCATGGGACATGTCCTGGGAATAGGGTTTTGTAGTGCAATGATAGCTTATTGGTGAGGCCTTTGCCTCTGATCTGGTTAATCACTCTCCTAATTAAACAGTGATGTTTTCCTCTGGCAATTGTGTATTATATAATATGTTCACAGCTGATGCAATTGAAATATGCAATCTGTGCCCTTACCAAGGTCTTCCTACTCTCAACACGCTTACCTCTTGTTCAATGAGTCTTGTGTAACTTCTTGTTTCTCACTTCTTGATTATATCCATGTATGTGCAAATGTGTGTTTTGGATAATACGCACAATCAAACAAGGATGAATCTATCAATAAAAAATGAATTAAGCAAAATTCCAAATCATTGATTGGCTCCTACATCTCATAGTTCCTCTTCTCTGAGATGTTGGCTGGTCTGTTCTATTGATAGTTAAACAAGTTAGCTGCTAGCTCATTGTCTTCATATTCAGTGTTTCCCAATGGAAGTACTTGTCCAGTCTCCTTATTTAATTAACAAGCCCTCTAAGTGCTACTTCTGCTACTTTAATGTTACTTCTTGCGTGTCTCTTTCGTTGTGCAAACATGGTTTTGAAGATTACATTGCATGGGCGGATAAAGAGTAAGTAGGAGGGACAAGAGCTAACAAGACACATGTAGTGACTAGTGACTAGAATCTAGAAAGGACTGCTGTGAGCGCAGGTACATCCCCCCAAAAAGACCCTTATAATCTGCAACCCACAACAGGCCATCCTGGAATGCCTAGAATATTGATTTAAATGCATAATTGAAGGATTCCAGGTTTTTGACACCATCAGAAGCACGTCAAATGCGCATTTAAAGCAAACTGGGCAACAAATGCTCGAGAACCCCAGAGAGCAATCACCAAGCTTCCACCAAACAGCCAAATGCAGTCAGTCTTTTTTCATGTTAGCACCGCTGGAAGTAGTCCGTGTTCTATCTACGCCAGGATGGCGAATTTGGAGGGCCTTACCGTGCGAATTTGGGCGGGCTTTCCTCAGTTGGCAATTGCTACAACCACTAGTCACTAGACCACCCTTTTGCTCCGTAGCTACAGACAGTTACAACCTCAACACACACACACACACAAACCACCACCACCACCACCACCAGCAGCACCAGCACCAGCTACCACCACCACTACCAAAATCACCCCACCACTACGAGTTAGTACTTCTAGTAACTACACAGGTTTTCTCGGCACCGACAACAGCACGGTGACACGGTCCACACCTTCATGGACAAGGTCTTTGGCAGAAGCATTGAAAGGATCTGCTTCCCGGTCCTGTGCACATTCACTCCACGAGTGCCTTGAAGTAGGGTACCCCCCAGAAACCACTGGTAAAGCCATATAACAAGTAATTAGATGGAATGACACAAGTAAGTGGTGACAAGTAGTCATAAGTAATGATATAAGTAAATAGAACTAAATAGTCTAAATAGTACTAAAATTACATCTAAATACATAAACAAGCAAACACAAAATAGCAAAACACATGGTTTTGACGCTTATGAGTTCATGATGACATATTATCAGTACAAATATATCACAACATATCATATCACGACATCATGTATTGAAAATAGATTGAAACTGGGTCCTGTGGGTTTTTCCCCACAGCGTTGAAACGCCGTTCACCGTCGACCCCATGACCCCATGACCCCGTTTCGTCCGTCCGGCCAAAGAGTCCGGCCCCATGACCCCATGACCTTCGTCTAAATGAGAGAACACCATATGCGTAAGCTGTAGTTTAGGAGAGGAACATCAGCGATGGGGGGTGTAGTGATCACTAGGAACATCTAGGCAAAACCCTTTCAAAGCTCCTAGATTGGAATTCTGGAAGATCAATCATCCACTCCAACCCATGGAGGCTGGAGGTCTCCCTATCAAAACTTGACTGGAGGGTTTCCCATCCTCCCTTCACAGCCCCTCCCTTCATGGCCCCCAAGGCTGCAGAAATGCTCCCCGGGCCCGCCGGCCAGAGCGGTTTCGGCTTTAGAATTGCTGGGGTTGGTAGTTGACCTGGGCGGAAAGGGGGGGCGGCTCCGTGGGCGGAAAGGAGTGCCGTCTCATGTGAAGTGGGGGAGCTTTTTGGGCCTGAGAAGAGAGGCAAGATCCCGCAAGCACGACTAAGCACCACCCAATAAACCGCATGGTACTCTACTCACTTCTATTTTTTTTGGACCATCAGGAGAACACCAGCTCCTCTCCAAGCAGAAATAACAACCCCTAAGGAATCGCACTCGTTTCTGCCGCGATGCGGTCGAGAAAAGCCTTTCCCGCAGAGTTTTCCCCACTGGCATGGACAAAGCCACCACGCATGCGTCTTTCTGGAGCTGGCCCGAGGAAAGAGCCCAAACTACGTAGCCTGGATGTTGATCTTAAATCTTGTGCTTTCACTGTTGGGACCAGTGGAGTTTTTGGCTTTTGTCTTCCAGCAAAAGCTGCTCACTGAGCCTCACATTCGCATGTTCCCTGAGGTTCCTAGCTTGAACCATTGGCCACCATGTGTCCTTCACTATGAGCCCTTGCATATCGTGTTGCTATGGAGTCTTGATTGATTATGCGTTATGCGTTTTAACACTACAGCTAAGGCTAAGGCATGCAAGGCAAGTGATCAGTGATCCTGTCATATCAAACTGCATCATGAACACAACTGCGTGCAACACCCCCGCCTCTGCCCTTTCCACCACCTCATGTTGATCTTGCTCATCACCCTCTTTGCGTACACACACACAAGGTGCAAGCACAGCCGACTGGGCAAGTCCGGCCATCCCACACAGGGAGCCACATGAGGATGTTCATGACCAAGTCCTGACTCACCAGAAAACGCGCTGAACAGGGCGCCGAAGTGAGACTGGTGACCCACCAGGAGGGAATAAAAACACAATATAACAAAAAAGAAGCTGGTGACCCTGGTGGAGACCTGTAGAGCTTATTTCAAAGCAGTTTGATCTTTTCACCAGAACTCTTTCCTTGGACTCTCGTGCGACTCCAAGGTAAAGAAATTGAGGATGCCACCAATGAAAAACGACCACCTTGACAGATGGAATTCTCCAACAAGAACTGTCTGCTCCGGATTGTAGTATCCCAGCTCGACACTGTCGACACTTCGCTGCGATGAATGTCAGGGTCCATGAGGGTCACAGTGCTTGAAGGTCGCATGATGTCTTTTGGTCGTATCTTCCGGGTCTTCCTAAACCCTTCAGTGAACCGGTTTTGGAATAGACGCAGCGTTCTTTCGCTGTTCCAAACCAAAGAGAACTGCGCTACTTGTCCGGTCAAAACCCATCATAACCCTACCTGATTTGTCCGGAGAGCAGCTCGGAGGAACCCCCACAATTCACCATTCGCACATGAATAGGGAGCCCTTTTTGGGGGTTGGCCCGGCCCTCCTTGGACTCTTGTATGCACTGGTTCATTCTTCCGCGCCTTCTCCATATAGGTATCTCGCTTGGTGTACTTGGCAGTGGCCAAAAGGCTGTCCTCCCAAAAGGTTGTGTGACAAGAAGAGAGGGGTTCCCCCCGTCAAGACGTCTCTGCAGGGGTGAAAGCGAGATGATCCCGGCATGGCAGGAGACCATATGAGCCATACTAGCTATCATACAAGCTCCTGCAAGGGAAAGGGCCAAATGAACTAAGTGTTACGCATATGCCCTTGCCCATCACTCTATCACACACAACTCACAAGATAATCCATTCTACCACCGTTGTTTGGCAGTGTTGCATCCACATTTTAATTGGCCATGCTCTGGGCGGTACAGGGGAGCCACACGCAGACCCGAGTCCATACCACAGACCAAGAAAACATCCAGGGAACGTCAGGATGCCAGCTTACGCTCTGGACTCTGGGTTTGTCTTACCATACTATAGTAATATTATAAGTATGTTATAACTTAGTTAAGGTGTCAAACAGACTTCCATCAGGGCACTATCCCAATCATTCCATGCAGGTCAACTCCTCAGCCCACAAGCTGCCCTGTGGACGTGGAAGGTTGAGGGTACCAGTTGCAGAGTGGAAGACAAATGGTCAACTTGTCAAGAGGTAGTGCACATAAGGTGTATGCTAGTGTATATACCTCCCATTTTGGTGTACGAAACATCCTCTGCTTCCCTGGCCATCACCTTGCGGCTGTTCTTCGCAAGACGGCTCTTGAAGCCATGATGTCAAGAGGATGAAACTCGGAGAACATGCCATCTGTATGAAAAAATACTTACAGGACTACTACTCAACTAACTCACCTCAACTATTTCTACACATCCCACCGTACCCACCGTACCCGCTGAAGCGGTGGTCGTCTTCATCCTGGACCACGCCCATGACCGGTTTGTTGCCCTGGGGAGAGACCACCTGGCGGCCGGCAAAGGGGCCTTCCGCTGAGCACCACATGGGGTGTCGGTGTTTTCAAGAGGGAGACCCTGGTTGGCCCCATGGGTCTTTCTCTGTTTGACTCTATTTCCTTTTTTCCAGAAAATCGAACTGGGAGGTCTCCGTCTCCCTACTTTTCATACATGACATGGTTCTCTTGAGTATCCGTGAGTAAAAAAGGCACTGCGCATGACAAGTCAATGATCAAATTGCATCCAACATCAACCAACTTGTTCAGCGAAACGGATCAGAAACAATGTCTATATCGTCTGCCCCTCCCCTTCGTCCGAATCATGAGTCTGACCTATCCGAATGCATCTGAATGCCAAACGTTTGGGCCCGGCCTGCCGAGGATTCAGCATCATGTGCTTGATCTCCGCACGCGTCTCGTGAGACTGGCACGCACGACGTGCATGCAATCCTCGTGGATGAGTTGTTCTATTGTCTGGAAATGTCTGGAAAATGGTATGTAGATGTATGTAGTGTCGATGGAAGAGATCTAGCACCTCAAGACTTGTGGAAGGATGTGGAAGGCAAAGCCGGAAATCAACCCCCTGATGGTTTCAAGGACAATAACAACCTTGATAGGGATGATGGCTTTCTAGATGTTGTTGAAGCACTAGGCTTTTTTGGTCCGGGGTAAACCAATGGGTCATCCAGTTTTTTCTTCTCCTCTTGGATGGGACCAGTCCGCCATGCGCGCCAGAATGGCCCCTTCCTGTTCTAAACTTTACCGTCGGGTTGCTCACAGACAGAGGGTATGCTACTTGAGGCCGAGGGTAGGTGACGAAAGCTAGCAGGGATGCATCCGTGTCAGTGGAGGCGAAGCATACAGCACCGTCCAGTGACAAAGGACTGGTGGGACATCAAGCGGAGTGAAGCAAATCGTTTTTCATATGCATGGGGCTGTTGGAGGGATGGTTCACACGGTCTCGCTCATGAGGTAAAACGTTGTGAACATGTAAGACACACGAACAGCAATGACACAGCCGACCTTAGCTTGTGAATCTGTTGAATCTGTTGCATCGTATCCCAAAACCTCCACGGAGGAGTTGAACCAAAGTGGATGTCATAAGAGGTGTCCAAGAGGTGTCCCAGAGGCGTCCCAGGGGGGAGTTGAACCCGCGAAAGGGGGGGGGCCCTCTACATATGAAGTTTTCACGTGATGCGGCGATCTCGAGGATTCCAGCCCCTCACTTGCTAAAGCAAGGAAAACTCCAGCTAGCTGGTGCTAGCTTTCGTGAACATTGAAATGGCCCTTCCTTCACTGTATTTTGCCATACACTCTCAATCGTAAGTAACGACGATAAGAGTCAAAGGATGTGTGACAATAGGTAGCTTCCGAGGAGCAGAAGCTAAAGCAAAAGTAGAAGCAAAACCAAAAGCAAAAGCAACAGAGAAAGCAAAAGCAGAAGCAAAAGCAGAAGCAAAAGTAGAAGCAAAAGCAGAAACAGGAGCGAAAGCAAAACACTACTGGAAACAAATCCCACAAATGGCTGGAAAATAATCCCACAAAAGACATCCGGTTCCGTCCAACATGTCTGTGCTGCTGCAATTGACGTGTCATCGCACCCACATTACACCCATGCATATGGTGACCCTTCATGAACGTCGCTGGTTGCCAATGCATTGGGCCTATATGATAGGAGCACCCAATAGCAGTCCCCCTAGAAGTATGATGATTGTTGATCATTGGTATATCATGGGATCGGTTATTGTTGATCATTGGTATGATTGATCATTGGTATATTGTAGATCATCCGAAGAAAAACAAAACGAAGAACATCGTCTGCACCTCGCTCATCTGCCCATGTCGACTTTTCGGGAGAGATCTCACTGCCTGGGCGAGGTGTAAATTCATCTCATCCCCATCGAAGTCCGCGTTGTAGGGCGAGGTCACTGCCTGAGTCAAGGGCAGTGTTTCGAGGTTACGGCATGGCCCCTTGGATGGCCATCTTCCTCCACAAACAGGTGGTTTTGAGGTACATGTTGCATTTGTGTCATTGCCAGGGCCCAGTGGATGATGATGATGATGATGATGATGATGATGATGATGATGATGATGA